GATGAGACTTTTCTGTATACTCTACCTATTATCCCATGAGTTAGGAGTTTTCTCCATGCTGCCTGGTAGGAACAGTCACAGCTCCCAGCCTTGTGTGAGCACCCAGCACTGCTGCCTCTATTCCTTTCAGATGGTTTTTTCCCTGGCCTGGGGTAGTTTTCTTAAACATATGCCGTAAGCACCTGGCTGAGTATGTGAGAGAGACCCTCTGCAGATCTCTGAGTTCTCTCTCTGTTTGGCGCTTCTTCCCTCGTAGTCTGGCCAATGAGCTATAGCTGCCTTGATCTGCCAAGACTTTCAGCTCAGTTTCCTCAACTCATGGAGCCTGCCAGGTTCTCCCTCACTTTCCCCTCTTTGTGCCGTGGTCTGGAAACTCACTCAAGGTGGTAAGCTGGGCAGTGGTAGGGCTCACCTCACTTATTTCTCATTACTTAAGGGTCACTGTTCTTTGTTGTCTGATGTGTAGTGTCTTGAGAACTACTGTTTCATGTAATTTTGTCTGGTTTATTTTATTTTATCATATTGGTTGTTTCTGATGGGAAGATAAATCTGGTCACTATTCCACCTTGGCTGTAAGCAAAAGTTCAATACATATTTTTTAAATGAAAAAATAATTTCTATAGACTAGTAGAGCTCGAAACAAAATTGAAATGGGTTAATGAGGATAATGAGAAAATGGAAGTGTAGACTGCTTTTGAAAGAAGTTTGAGAAGTGCAGGGTAGGAGAGAGCTCTACTTTGAGTGCAGGGCAGAGAGGAGGAAACCTTTTTCATTGTTTGTTTTATGAATTGGGAAGTTTTCAACGTATTTAAGTGGAGGAGAAGGGGCCAGTAGAGAGGAGATAACTGTGGAGGAAGGGCCTAGAAGAGGCAGGAGCGAATGGAATCAAACACCTGTGTGAGAATTAGACTTGGAAGGGAGAAGAGGAACGGGGAAATCAACACTTAAAATTCTTCTTATGTGCCATATGGCAAATACTTTACATGTTTTTAATTTAAGTTTGTTAATACTTTTATAGGATAAGTATTGTTAACCTTGATGAGGAGGTGCGGTAGAAAGGGTAGGGAACTTAACCAAAGTACTCATCAGTGGCAAAGCTGATCCGGAAGCTCCTGCTTTTCCTAATGCTCTATAGAGTCTCTCTCGGTTCTTTCTTCAGGGCAGGGAGAACAAAAGCTCACGAAGATTTAGTCTATAATTGGAGTAAAGGAAGAGAAGAGCTGTGTAACCATTGTGTTTATGTAGAGTTTACTATAAAAATTCACATCTCCTCCTACAGAGGAAAATATGGGGAAGAGATGAGATGAATGTGTTAATGTGTGCAGAAGCGTTGAAAATAGTTCAGTGGGAGCAATGCACCTAATTCTAGCCCTGCCCTGTTCTGTAAATCTTGCTTCAGAACTTGTTATACAAAATGTACTCTTACTTTTTTACACCTTTATACACAGATAGCAAACTCAGTAACTAGGGGAAAAGAAGACAACTCATAGGTATGATTAGAAGATAAATAGTCTAAGAAGTGACCTTTGTAAGTTAATGTTCTTTGCCTCTACTCCCCTCTCCTTTTTTTAAACTATTGTACTTTGCTTATATAAGTATTAAATTGAATCGTATTTAATTGGTGTCAAAAGAGTTGAATATTGGCACTTTCACGTGGTTCAACATAATAGTCTGTTTTGAAAGGACAAGACACAGTCATTGTAACCATTGTTAGCACCGTTAGTGCGGGGATGATGTCTGTTTTATTTACCGGTGTGCGCTCAAATGCTGGGCACAGTTTCTGGCATATAGTAGACATTCAGTAAACAATTTGTGAATGAAAACCTATAGGTTTTTGAGGTCCCACGTGTATTTTGTAAGGAATGTAGGTAAAGATTAGGGGAGATCTCCTTCTTGTCAGGCCCTAAGTTTTTTTTAAAAGACTAAGAAGAATTTTTTAGCAAAGCTCTTATTTCCAATGCAAGATAATATTAAATAATAAAATATTTACTACGTTGGCTTCTTAGCCCTCTGTTAAAGAGATTCTTCTTCTTCAACCATTTTAAAGATCTAAGTAGAGATGGGAGACTCCCTGCTCTCCTCCCTCTTAGGAGACTCTGCAAAAGAGCTTTGTCAGTGGTTAAGCTCTGTCACATTTTTTTTTTTTTAATTTTATTTATTTATTTTTCCCCCAAAGCCCCAGTAGATAGTTGTATGTCACAGCTGCACATCCTTCTAGTTGCTGTATGTGGGACGCGGCCTCAGCATGGCCGGAGAAGCGGTGCGTTGGTGCGCGCCCGGGATCCGAACCCGGGCCGCCAGCAGCGGAGCGCGCGCACTTAACCGCTAAGCCACGGGGCCAGCCTCTGTCACATTCTTGATGCTGCTTTTCTCCTTTCAGTTGCTCTGCCTGCCCTTTTATACTGAAGATGATTGACATGATAAATGCAATGATAACTTTTCCTTTCTCATTTGGGGCCAGATCGGTGTCCTTTCTCATTTGGGGCCAGATCGGTGGCCTTTTTCCATGCACTAACAGCTTTTACAAAATACTAAGTATGTAATATACCCTCTGCTCATTTCTGTATTCTAATAATTTACATAAATTATCTCACTGGAGTACAACACTTAGACTATATTATGGTCTCCTAATAATGGTTTTCCAGATCCATATGTTCACAGATAAGGTGTAAAGACAAAGGACTAAGAAGCCTCTGGCTTGCTCAGAATTGCCCCAGGATCTTTGGAACAAATATGAAGAAAGTGTGTTGTATCATTGCCTAGTATTACTGCTCTGGGCCATTATGTTCCATGCACATTTCCTGCAGTGTCAAGTTTCGTCCACACAGTGGTGCTACAAAACCAAGAATTGATGATTGTTTCCCTCCTAATCAGTGGAATATTTATTTCTAACTGTTCCTGATAAAATAAACACTTCCTCAAGTTATATAATAACAGTTTCCTCAGTCTCTATCAAATCCCTCATAAAGTTGTAATGATTTTACATCTGAAAAGCCTCCAGACTTAACCATTCTTTCCCCGGATGACTGCAGTAACTTCCTACAGATCCTCCTGGATTTACCCCTGCTTTGCTATGGTCTGTTTTGCATGTTGTAGTTATAAGTAATCTTTTATAAATTCAAATCTGGACTTTACTCTGCTGCTTAAAAACTTAAATGAATTCTTATTACATTGACTTTATCAACAAAGATAAAGACAAGGGCTCCCTTGTATCAACTCTTGCCCGGTTTTCTAGCTTTATTCATCTGTAGCCTTTTCTTCAACAGTTCTCCTTAATGCTCTGTATTTCAGCCAGTCTGACCTTCTTTTTGTTCTTCGAACACCAGCTTTTCCTCCTACTTTTGTCTGCTTTTCCTTCTGCCTGTGATGAATAGGGGTGCGTGTGTGTGTGGGTGTGGGTGTGGGTATATTTCTTCTGAAGTTAAATCTACCTTATCCTTTGTAGTTTGGCTCAAATTTTTGAAAACTTTCATTAATCTTCCCAGGTAGATTGGCTCTCAGTGTTATTTGTTCTCATGGTACCAGTAATTTTTCTTTATAACATTTATTACATTTTAATTGTGTATTTATTTATGTGATTATTTGACTAATATTTGTTTCTCTGCTGGATCGTAAGTGCTAAGAAGGTAGATTTTGTGCTCTTTGCTCATCATTCGTGCCTATTAAAATATTTTCTGAATAAATGAATGAATGAATATAAGTCAGCCAGGACTCAAGGCAGGTAATAGAAGTAGGAACAGGTGAGCACTCTGGAAAAAGAAGAAATTACTTGCAGTCAGAATACAGTAAGGTGAGTTTTATGTTAAGGTAAAGTATTGGCTGAGCGTAGTCCACTTATGTATTTCCTGTTGGAGCAGAAATTAATTCTAGGTCACAGGCAGCCCTGAGCTGTAAGGGTTCCTGTCTGCATGAAAGGAAAGGAGGAATGGAAGGCAGAGATCACATTTTGCAGATTTAAAATTATGGAAGCAGCTAAGAGAGTAGATCTTAAAAGTTCTCATCACAAGAAAAAAAACTATGTGAGGTGATGGATGTGTCAAGTAAACTTATTGTGGTAGTCATTTCACAATATATCAAATCGTTATGTTGTACATCTTAAACTTATACAGTGTTATATGCTGATATATCTTAATAAAGTTGGAAAAAAGTAAAATAAAATTATGGAAGCGGCTAATGCCCTGGTAGAAAAAACACTGTTCCTTAGGTAGAAAACCTTGTTTCTATTCTAGGTATAATATTGCTGTGTTCTGTTCCCTTGGAAAAGATGTGGTATAACATTGGAGAAGTCACCGTTTGTGCTTACATTTATAATAAAAACATTCTCTTTATTTCTTAATATGTGAGAAATGAATGAGATGAGATAAAATGAATGAGATAATAGAAATAAAGCATTTTACGAGTATAAAAACAGTTTATAAAGTGGACTTAATATTTGCCCAGAAGACAGGAAATCCTTCTATTTTGGAATTTCTCTGTCTTAAGAGGTGCCTGAGAGAAAAGAGGGTTATGGCATGAAAAGCCCTGTCTCCCATAGCCGCTATTCTAAGTTCTGCCAGGGCAGGGACCATGTTAGTTTTACTCACTGTTTATCCTCTGCACACAGTTCCTGGTAGGTATCCAGAAATAATTATTATTATTATTATTTTTAATTTTATTTATTTATTTATTTTCCCCAAAGCCCCAGTAGATAGTTGTATGTCGTAGTTGCACATCCTTCCAGTTGCTGCATGCGGGACGCGGCCCCAGCATGGCCGGAGAAGCGGTGCGTCGGTGCACGCCCGGGATCTGAACCCGGGCTACCAGCAGTGGAGCGCGCGCACCCAACCGCCAAGCCACGGGGCCGGCCCCAGAAATTATTTTTGAATGAATAATGTAGTGAATTGTCCTGAAGGCCTTTGTGAATAGCATTCTGTGATTTCTATGCCTTATAGGCATTCTGCAGAAAGGAACAATCTGAGGCAGAATTCTTGATGTTTATGTTTATTTTTCTTGTATTTCAGCTGTGGCAGAAGTAAAACTTCGAGATGATCAATATACACTGGAACACATGCATGCCTTTGGAATGTATAATTACCTACACTGTGATTCATGGTATCAAGACAGTGTCTACTACATTGATAACCTTGGAAGAATTATGAATTTATCAGTGATGCTGGTAAGGCATAAATCTATAATACTAGGATTTTCCAATAAATTTGATCCTTAATTTTCACTACTAATCTGATGTCCAGAGAATTGAGGTACACATACCTTTAGTATATGGAATTCTATCATCCAGTCTACATAAGGCTCCCTTCTGTTTAATTCAGTTTTAATTTTTCGCTTTATTCCTGTTCCTTCTTTATTCCTCTCTGTTCCCACCAATGGGCAGCTACTCTAATGGGTTTTATATATCAATGTCAGTGTAACTGTTCATGTCTGCTTTGTGTTAACCCTGACTATGAAAGTGGATTTGTCTGTTTTTCCTTTTAGTTAATTTTTGCTTTATGTATTTTTAACTATGTTAATTGGGTGTGAACGTTTAGGATTGTTTTGTCTGCTATGGATTGGTCCTTTAGCATTATGTAATGTCCCTCTTTGTCTCTAGGCTCTGGGAATAATTTTTATCTTGAAATCTTCTGATATTAATATAGTTGTCCTGGCTTTGTTAAAATTAGTATGTATCTTTTTTGATCCTTTTTCTTTCACTTTATCAGTTATTATTTTTAAAGTGTATCTCTTGTAAAAAGCATATAGTCGAGTCTTGATTTTTATCCAGTATGACAATCTTTGTCCGTTAATTGGAAGGCTGTGTACATTGAAATTTATTATAATTACTGATATGGTTGGGTTTTTGTTACCATTTTGCAAATTCTTTTCAGTTTGTCCCATCTGTTCTTTGTTCCTTTTTGTCTCTATTCCTACCTGTTTTGGGATTAATCAAGGTTTTTTCTTTTTTTAAAAAATTTTCTTAAAATTCCATTTAATTTACTCTTTTTATCCAAACTTTGTATTTTTAATGGTTAATGTAGAGATTATAGTATTCATCCTTAACTTACCCTAATCTGCCTCTAATTGTTATTCCACTTAAAAAACAATATAAAAACCTTACAGTAATATGATTCCTTTTACTTCCCTTCCCACCGTTTGAGCTATTTTTGCCAGGTTTTTTACTTCTTTAGATGTTGTAAGCTCCACAATACATTGTTGATGTATTTGCTTCAAACGGTCAGTAGTCTGTTAATAGCTTCCTAACTACTCTCAATCTTTCTAGCCCTCCTCTACATTGTATCTACAGAATAATCTCTCTAATTTGTTTGTCAAATCTTTTCACTTGTCATTTAAATTCCTTAACTATTTCCTTTATGACAAAATCCACACTTTTTAATGTGTAATTTTAGAATAGGTAATGCTTTCCTGTGATTTTAAAAACAAGAAATTTAAAAAAGTATTGAGTGAAGTCTCTCAGACCCCATCTTTTATCTACTTGTCCTGTGTTCGATACCATATTCCCTCTATTAGTTTCTTGTGTTTTCTTCCAGAAGTGGTTTTTTTGTGTGTTTGTTTTTGAATTTTTTGGCAAGTGTAAGTACAGAGTGATATATGTTCTTAAAATACAAACTCATCTTGGCACTTGCAGTTTATAATGCCCTTCCCTCCAACCTTGTCTTTCAGCACTTTGGATACTACGCCCTAGCAATACCAAACTCTTGCACTTCCTGAGACGTGCCCTGTATCCTGTTGTCTCCAGCCCTTTTCCCATTTGATTAACTCTACCTGGAATATTCTCTTACTTCTGTGTCAAGCTGCTTCCCAATCTTCACTGAAGTCCCAGCTAACTGTTTCATCTAGGAAGCTTGCTCTCACATCCTCCCTTTGCTCCCCCAGTAATATTCAAACCGTTGGCTCTCAGATCTGCATGGACTATGAATTCCTTCTAGGCCAGGAGTTGGCAAACTTTTTCTACACAGGGCCAGATAATAAATATTTTAGGGTTTGAGGGCCAGATAGTCTTATGTCAAAACTGCTCAATTTTGCTATAGTAGTGTGAAAACATTCTCATATTTCTATAATCCTAGCACCTAGCAGAAAGCTTGGTCAATATGTTTGTTGAATGGATAACAGCTGTTTAAAGCTTGTTCTTACTCTTTAGAGTTGGCTTTGCATTCTTGATGGGATCTTCGTCTTATTATTTCTCCTTCAGTTACAGATATGAGTCTTTGGTTTGTTGAGATAAATAATTTTACTGAATAAGAAATATTTATTTTTCTTCAAAGAACATTAATTGAATGCTGCTGCATGCTTAGTAGCCACATACACAAATAAATTGGTAACGTGTAACAGTGGTAGCAGGGATAAGATGCACAAATAATATGGAGGAGGATACAGTTTAGTACTATACAGATAGGGTCACAGTTTAGGGCCAAAAGCTTTGTTTTATCAGTTCACTCACTGATAATCACAATTTTGGATGCTAATTCCAACTTAAGTCACAAGCATGATTTGAAATCTGGAATGAAAGCTTAATGATTAAATTTGAAATACTATAGATAAGCAGTGTGGACTGGGTCAGTATATTTTTCTTCTATTGGAAAGTTTCCATAGGAAATCAAATACTGTAATTTTATGAAGATAGGTTATTTGACATGGAATCAGAGCAAAGACTAGTATGTCTTTGATTTCTTTTCCTGGCCTACTCTCTAGCTTCTGTGGATACCTTAGAATAACTTGTTACAGTTCCTTATTTAGTCTCTCTTTGCTTGTCTATGGACTCATTAAAGACATATATACACATATACTCTATATATGTTACCACCCGAAGTTGGGGGTCGTCTGCCCACCGCAAGACGTGCCTATAGCCAAGAGGCGAGGAGGTAGGAGAGAAAGGACAGCTTGCTAGGAGGAGGGAAGATGGGCGACTAATGTCTGAAAGAACCATCTTGAGGGGGCACAAAATCTTACAGCAGTTATATAGGCCAGTGGGTTATAGGGGCCAGGGTTAGGAATGTTGACCCTGTGGTGTTACAGACTGGGAGTGCCACACCAGATCTTTCACTTGTCCTTGATGACGCCTATCAGCATAGACTCTCTGCCCGGGGCTCATCACATTCCTAAGGAACTCAAGAGAACAAAGTTATCAACTTAGAGGAGCTGTGAGGGGCCATAAAATCTACAGAGCATGTCTGGGTTAGTTAATCAGAGGTCATTCAAAGTTACAGTAGGGTTTCTTTTCTACAATATGGCTTCCCTCATGTCAGCCTTGTGTTGAGCTGGTGTCACGTGCACTATAGACTTGGATAGTGTGTACACACAAGCCAAATGCCCTAAATCATACACGTGCACTGTATTGCCCATACATGATCATACATGTCTATGCTCTGCATATACGTAGTTTGCATTTTATTGTGTCTTTTAAATGTAAGGACTTTTATGTTTTTTAGATTCTGTTTTGTTTTTTTTAGAGACAAAACCAAAATCTGGAAGTTCACTAAGATTATTGACTTACAGAGCCTAACTTGGTCACATAGTCTAAGTTATACTATTCACCCAATATTCAAAACATTTTTTGAATACCTACTATATGTTACATATTATTGTATGCACTAGTAATGCAGCAGTGTACAAAATAATCTCTTCCAGTTTATTAACTTACAGTAGAATATGAACTGCTTCCTTCCCTCTCTTCCCCAATTTGAACTTGACATTGAAATAACAACCTCTTTTGGTACACGTTTGTATATGTTCACAACAATGTACGCCTTTCCACATATATATATATAATAATTTGTATTTTGAATTTGAATTTGAATTATTTGAAATTTGAATTTAAATTTGTTTAGCTTCCTGATAAAATCAGAAAGGTTTTTTAAGGAAATAATTCATTGGTAAGCAATATGGAAACCATAATTTAGAATGCATGACTTCTGGGGAAGTTTCTACAAGTTGCCTTCTTTCCTAGTTCTTAGTTATCATTCTCATCTCTAAACTCTTAGCACTTCATATGTATTCTCTATTTAGCAATTAGGTTATAAAGTCCATGAATTACTTAGTTGAAAAGACATAATATACACTGTAAAAGTAGTGTGTTAGATCCTCTATATAAAAGACCTGCCATGTACCTTTTTTTTCCAACTGGTAAGTGACACTATGTTTGAGTGAGGATCCCTTGCCCCAAATGTTAGTTTTTGTAGGTCGTATCTTCTGGACTGGCAGATATCCCCAGAAAGGAGTCCTCTTGTTTGTTTTCTGAGCGGTATAAGGCCTGATCCTGGCTTTCTGAGATCCAAGCAAAAGAAAAGAGTTTGTGGTCTCATCTTTCAACAGGTGGACATTCACTGATTCTCCTGTTTTTCTTGCAGTAGTGTCTTTTACCCCTGTGCTTATTAGCTGGGCCTGATGGCCTGAGTCAGTCTAGTTTAAACTTGCAATAGAGAAATCTCCAGTTTTTTGCTAGGGTGGGAGAATTTATATTGATTTTGGGAGAATTGGCATTTTTATGATCTTTTTTTCACCTCAGAACATGGTATGTCCTTCTGTTTGTTTAGATCTTTTATGTTCTTAAGTAAGATTTTTATAGTTTTCCCTTTATTTTATGCTAATTTTATTAAATTTATTCTTAAGTATTTTATAATTTGTGCCTGTGTTGTTAACAGAATATAGTTTTTTCTATTTTCTTTTCTGGGTGCTTATTGATAAAGATTATTTGTTATGTAAACAGCCACCTTATTTGATAATTCAGTGATTTGTACCTACTCCCACTTAGGTTTTCAAAGTATACAGTTATATCATCAGCAGAAGGAAATGGTTTTATCTCTCCTTTTCCAATGTTGATGAAAATGGAAATAAGATTGCCATGTCATTTCGTTTTTGTCTTATTGCTGTTACTAGATAGAACCTCTGAGACAATGTTGAATAATGATGGGGATTACAGGTATCCCAGTTTAGCTCTTGATTTTAATTGTAATGGCTTTTAAATTAAGAAAAGACTTACTCTTGGTTTTTGATGAATAGCTTTTATTGTTTTAAAGTTGCTTCCTTCAGTTTCTGTTTCTATTTAATGTTTTTTGTTATACCTGCTGAATTTTATCACATGCCTTTTCAACATCCACCTATTGTTAATGATTGTCTGCTTTTAATTAATTTATCAGTGTAGTAAGTTAAATTGATATAGTTTTA